GGGCACTGACGGCTGCGCATCCGCAGGTTCGTGGAAGCCCAGAGCAACCCCCAGGGCAGCCCCCTGGTGTTGTGGCTCAACGGGGGTCCCGGCTGCAGCTCCATGGAAGGCTTCCTCAAGGAGCATGGCCCCTTCCTGGTTAGTAGTCACTGCTGTCCTGTGTCTCGGGAGCACAGGGAATGGCTGGATGCATGGCACGAGCCATCCTGCTGTCCCCAGCCTGGCTAAGCCCATGGGTCACCGCCTTCCGCTTCCCCAGATCCAGCCCGATGGAGTCACGCTGAAGTACAACGAGTACGCCTGGAACAAGGTACGGGTGCAGGCGCTGCCGCCCTCCGTGGCTGCCGGATGGGGTGGCCCTGAGCCAGTTCCTCCTGCCCTCTCTGTGGAGCCAAACCTCCTGCTACCCCCCCTGTCCAACACACCCTCTTCTCCAGTCTGCTGAGCAGCACAGGAATGTGGCCACCCCAGCACAGCCCTGGGGCGGGCCGTGGGTGAGGCCAGCGGCCCTCGGCTTCGCTGAGCCAGAGGAGGGTGTCCCCTGATCGCCGGCTCCTCTGCTGTCCTCGCAGATTGCCAACATCCTCTACCTGGAGTCTCCCGCTGGTGTCGGCTTCTCATACTCAGATGACAAGAAGTACGGCACAAATGACACAGAGGCGAGTGACTGGTGTGCTGGGAAGGCCCTGCCCCCCATCTGCCCTTTGCGTAGGGTTCAGCCTCACCACCTGACACTGCCTCCTCCTCCACCCTGCAGGTTGCTCACAACAACTACCTGGCGCTGAAGGATTTCCTCCGCCTGTTTCCTGAGTACTCCAAGAATGATCTCTTCCTCACAGGGGAGAGCTATGGGGGGGTCTACATCCCCACACTGGCAGAGTGGGTGATGCAGGACCCCAGTCTCAATTTGAAGGTGGGTGGCTGGGCTCTGCTGGGGAGCAGAGGGCTCAGCACGGCCTCGCTGGGGCCCTTGAGCAGCGCCAGGGTGGGGACTGGCCGTGCATTCAGTGTGCAGGGTCCCCTCCAGGACGGAGGGCGGGCCTGGCCCTGCGGCCTTTCATCTCCTCCTGGGGTGCTGGCAGAGGCTACTGGTGGACGTGTCCATCCCTGCTGCTGGGGAAGCGTCCTCAGGCACCCCCGACCCTCCCTGTTCCCTCTGCGGAGTAAACAGTGCCACATCTGCTTCCTGCCTGGGGCCGCTGTGCTGCAGCCACCCCGCGGGGAGCTGGAACACAACAGGGTTGTTTTCTTCTTGCCTTGCAGGGAATCGCTGTGGGAAACGGCCTCTCATCTTATGAGATCAATGACAACTCCCTGGTTTACTTTGCCTATTACCACGGGCTGCTGGGGACCGAGTAAGAGCAGGGGGAGTGCTCAGTGTGCCGTCCCTGTGTGAGCAGGAGTGGGGCACGGCCAGGGCTTGGGCTGGTGGGTTGGTGTTGTTGGGACAAGGGTGGCTCCCAGCCTGCCCTGGGCCAGCAGTCAGGCTGTGGAGGTTGCCCTGTGTCCCAGGCAGCTCCCAGGTGTGTATTTGTGGGGCACAGAGGGCACCAGGCCAAGCCAGGTGCCACATGGGTGCTGGACAGGGAGCTGCAGCGCAGCCGTCACGTTGGTGGTGTTGCCTGGGCAGTGCAGTCCAAGCCCTGGTCTCTGCCCACAGGCTGTGGAAGGACCTTCAGGCCTTCTGCTGCTCCGAGGGGAAGTGCAACTTCCACGACAACTCCAACCTGAACTGCACACTCAAGGTGAGGGGATGTGGAGCCCCTGTACACGTGCCCAGCGTCAGTGTCTGTGAGCAGCACCCACCTGGCTCTGGGTGGGTCCATGGTCCCAAGAGGGTCTTGCTGAGTCCCAAACCCTTCTTGTGGCTCCTTGCAGATGGGCGAGATGATTCAGATTGTAGAGGAGTCTGGCCTCAACATCTATAACCTCTATGCCCCGTGTGACGGAGGTGTCCCTGGGAGTCTGAGGTAAGAGTGGCCTCAGGGAAAAAGGGTCTCCAGGCACCGGCTCACTTTGATCCCACTGGCAGAAGGACATGGTGGGCTGGGGAGGGGGTCCTTCTGGGACAGGTGGATGGTGTCTGGCTGCTGCCAAGGACTTGCCCAGGGAGGGCCCTGAGCCCTTGTTTCCCCAGGGCTTTCAGCCTGTCCTCATGCTCATCCTGGCTGCAGGTATGAGGGTGATTATCTCATCACACACGACCTGGGCAACTCCTTCATCCGGATGCCTCTGAGATTCTCCTGGCGGCAGGTGAGCCGAGGTGCCCGTGCTGCTGGGCTGAGAGCAGCCTGTGCCTGGCCAGTGGTGCTGCTGTGACAATGACTCTCCTGACTCTCCCAGAACCTGTTCCGGATGCCAGTAGCCCGGAGGAAGGTCCGTATGGACCCTCCCTGCACCAACTCCACAGCCCCCAGCATGTATCTGAACTCCCCGGAGGTGCGGAAGGCTCTGCATATCTCCCCCGAGGCCCCGGAGTGGCAGGTGTGCAGGTGAGAGAGCTGTGGGCGGGCAGGGACTACCACGAGCAGGAGCAGCTGCATGATGCCAACACTTCCTCCGCAGCTTCGAGGTGAACCGCAACTACAAGCGCCTGTACATGCAGATGAACGAGCAGTACCTGAAGCTGCTCGGGACCACAGTGCGTGCAGGGGAGCCCACGGACCCTGGGAGTGGCTCTGCCAGCCCAGCCTCCTGCCTGGCTGGGGTTGGTGTCCTGGCCAAGGGCTCACCCCCTCTGTCTGCTCCGCAGAAATACCGGATCCTGGTGTACAACGGGGACGTCGACATGGCCTGCAACTTCCTCGGGGATGAGTGGTTTGTGGACTCCCTGTGCCAGAAGGTAAATGGGCAGGGCATGGCCCAGACCAGGCCAGTCCCTGGCTCCAGGCTGTGTTCTGGGGCTGGCTGCGGTGGGAGCGTGGGCAGGGCTGGCCCCAGGCATTGAGGGCGCTGCCATCACTCCCAGGTGCAGGTGGCTCGACGGCCCTGGCTCTACACTGAAAATGGTGAGAACCAGATCGGGGGTTTTGTGAAGGAATTCGCCAACATCGCCTTCCTCACTGTCAAGGTAGGACTGAGGGCTCTGGGGGCCAGGGATGGGGCTGTGGGTGGGTGTGCTGGACACCAAGGCTGCGGTCAGCATGGGGGGGTGCTGGCTAGACTGTGGCAGCACCACAGCCATGCTGACTGCTGCTGCCCCTTCCCTGCAGGGAGCTGGCCACATGGTGCCCACGGACCGGCCGCTCGCTGCCTTCACCATGTTCTGCCGCTTCATTAAGAACCAGCCTTACTAGGAGCTG